TTGTATTTTTTTTAAGATTTTTTTTTCTTTTTCATTTGAAACGCAGATTTACAGAGAAAAGGAGAGAGAGAGTTCTTTCCATCTGCTCGTTCATCCCCAAATGGTTGCAGCTGCTGGAGTTGTGCTCCTCCAAAGCCAGGGGCCAGGAGCTTTTTCCAGGTCTCCCTCAGAGGGGCAGGGCCCCAAGGACCTGAGCCATCCTCTTCTGCCTTCCCAGACTACAAGCAGGGAGCTGGATTGGAAGTGAAGCAGGCAAGACTAGAATTGGTACCTATATGGGATGCTGGTGCCGTAAGGCTATGGGACCATCACAATTTCTCACTGACTCTGGGAATACTCTTTCAGATGAATTGAGAAGGCTTTTTTTTTTTTTTAAATCTTTTTGGTCAAGTTCTGATTAAGAAAGAGGGTAGCAACAGAAAGATCAGGGAGAAGACTATCAAACAGCAGAAATAGCTGGCTCTAAGGTCTCTAGGTGACAACGAGCTGGTCTTGCAGAATCATAGACAAAAGGGCAGAGAAATTGTAGGAAAGAAAGTGAATGAAGAGAGTAGTAAAGAGAGGTCTGAGAGAACCCCAACCTGTGGGAACACCCTGGGGAGGGTGTTGCATTTTCTTCTCAGTATGGTGGAAATTCCTGAGAATTTGTGTGGGACAAAGATAATAGGTGGGGAGATGAAATGATCATAGATTTGGGCTGTTCTACATTATGAGATAGAAAAGATACACTTGCTGGTGAGTTTAATGTGGAAGGAAGGGGCCCGGCATGATAGCATAGCGATTAAGGTCCTTGCCTTGAAGGGGCCAGGATCCCATATGGGTGCTGGTTCTAACCCCGTGGCCCCCTGTGGCCTGGGAAAGCAGTTGAGGACGGCCCAAAGCTTTGGGATCCTGCACCCGCGTGGGAGACCTGGAAGAGGCTCCTGGCTTCGGCTCCTGGCTTCAGCTCCTGACTTTGGCTCAGCTCCAGCTGTTGCGGCCGCTTGTGGAGTGAACCATTGGACGGAAGATCTTATTCTCTGTCTATCCTCTGTGTATATCTGTCTTTCCAAAAAAAAATCAATTAAATCTTTTTTAAAAATGTGGAAGGAGGGAGTGACTGCAGAGCAGTACCTCTAGGTTCTTGGCTTGAGGCGTGTGAGTGATCCATGGAATGCCTTCATAATGATTGAGTGTTTTCCAGATTTTGAAGCCTTTTATTTTTTTAGAAAAAATATTTTTTAAAATTTATTTGAAAGGCAGGACTTACAGTGAGCACAGGGAGAGAGAGAAAAGGAGAAAGAAAAAAGAGAGAAGATCTTCCATTGCTGGTTTATTTCCCAGGTAGACGCAATGGCCTGTGCTGGATTAGGACAAAGCTAGAAACCTGGAGCTCTATCTGGCTCTCCTCCACGGGGGCGGCAGCCCAAGCACTTGGGCCACCTGCTGCTACTTTCTCAGGCGTCTTAGCAGGGAGCTGGTTTGGAAGTAAAGAAACTGAGACTTGAACTGCCACTCATGTGTGAGGCCGGTGTTGCAGGTGGCAGCTAACGAGCTTCGCTACAATACCAACTTTCACATTTTGAAATCTTTTACCTGCATTCTCCAGCTTTTGGGCAGAGATGAATTTATACAGAACAGTCGACTCCTGAGTAAATGGCAGCTGACATTGGTCCTGAAGCCTAGGCGGGTCATGACCCTTCTCATGATCCTCTCCCCCGGATTTAGACTAGTTGTCCTAGTTCCCTTTCCAAATGCTCACAGTGGTGTCCCACCAGGACTAAAATTGGAGCATATTGCTTGTTTCAGCTCTCCTGCATGGGTGATAGGAACCGTATGACTTGAGCCATCAACACTCCTTCCTGGGGTCTGCATTAGAGTGAAGCTGGAGTTCGGAGCTGGAGCCAGGCATCAAACTCAGATATTCTGTTATGGGAGATGGACAACATAATTGGTGTCTTAACTGCTGGGCTAAATGTCAGCTACTTGCTATATTTTACTCTCCTTGAAGAAAGGGCCTGCTCTGTGTCTTTCCCATTATGAATACAATCTGGTGATCTTCAGCATCCTGTATATCTCTTTTCACATTCCCTAGATTTGCTTGCAGCTAGCTGAGTGTGTTTTTCCAGTTAATGCAGCTAGCATGATGCTTGGAAGATAAGAGTGAGCTGGATGCTAGCATACTGTGATTTTGGCTCTTTCTTTTGGCAAATGAAATTAAGGAGACATGAAAGTTGGCAGGCAATTTTGGCAGCAATGTCAGCAGTTTCTGAATCCCAAATATCTGATTCCTGACTTGTAGATCTGATGATGTTGGGTACTTAAAATAGCTACAGGAGCTGCTTGCTGGTTTCTAACACCTCAATCCTTGCTATCCTAGATATTAGTTCTTGGCTAAAAGCTTACTGTTTTATTTATTGAATGAGATTTTTCTTTTCTTCTTATTTTTTAAAGCTGCCATAGGCTAGTTAAAGTTTTCATGGGAAACAAGCATTACCTTTTATAAGATATATTTACTTAAAGGCAAAGTAGGGGGGTGGTGAGTGAGGATGTGTGTGTGTGTGTGTGTGTAAGAGAGACAGAGAGACAGAGAGAGAGATCTCCCATCCATTGTTTTTCACTCCCAAATGACTATGATAGCCAAGGCTGTGTCAGGGCAAAGCCTGGAACCCCATTCGAGTTTCCCACAAGGATTTCAGGGACCTCAGTACTTGGGGACCTTTTTCTGCTGCTTTTTCAGGCATATTAGCAGGAAGCTGGGTCTGAAATGGATCAGCAGTTGGGACTCGAACAGTTCCTCAGATAAATATTCAACTGAATCTATCCCAAAGCTACATTTATTTCCTCTATCTTCTAATCTATTAAAAAAAAATGAAGCCAGACATCAGTGACTACATTAGGTGCTGAGCAGTACCAGGTTGAGTAAGATATGTTTTTATTCTAAGCTTTATAGGGAAAAATTATAACAAAAATGGGCCAAATATCTAAGTGGAAACCTTAGAAAAAGCAGTATATGGAAGTTCAGGGAGGTTACTTGTAAAAGGTGATGTTTTAGTTGGAATCCAGGGGATTTCTATTGTTTCACCAGGCTTAAAATAAGAGTGGCATTCCAGGCAGATGGGATAGTAAAGTTAAAGAAATGAGTTCATGGAAGAGCATGGTCTTTTATGAGAAGGCCAAGTTCTTGGCATGGTGGAAGAACTGAACTGGATGCTTCCTGGAAGAGCCTCTCATGAGACTAGGTCATCTGGCCCAGACAGTGAAGACTTATGTGCCATGTTAAGGAATGTGAAATATTTTCTCAAGTCATGAGGAAACCCCTGAAAAGAAAGACTATAGTAGTAGAGAGGGATTTGTGGAAAGAGACTCAAGACCAATCCAAGATTTGGAGGATACAGAGCAGACAAGATCTGAATACTGTTTGAATGTGCTGGTGAATGAGTGGTAAGGGTCAAAGGAGATTCTTTGTTAGTGATGGGAATGGAAAATTGTGCTTAGGCAAGTTTCGTTTTGACTCTTTGTTATTTGCTTCACATTGATTTTCAATATCCAGGAGTTTGGATAACAAAGGAATTTTAGAAGTCGAGAAATGAGGTTCACAAGAGATGTCACAGTTGCACAGTGAAGAAAGCAGTCAACAGGGTCACTGCTCACCAGTAATTTATTGGCTATTTTAACACAATTCCTTAGTTTGCACATAGATTTTCCTGGGAAAGGTTTTCAGTTTTTGCAAGTGATGCATGAGCAGTCTTGGTCCCTTGCGAGCTGAAAACAGATGACATACACTTTTGCCCGTTTTATATGATCAGAAATTAGAGACGTATTTAGCTGGAATGAGTCCAGTGAGCTCTAGTGGCAGGTGCTCAGTGGCAGGTCCCTCTGAGGATCCTGGGTACAGGATATGTTGCAAACATCAGAGAAGTCTACAACAATGGGTTCTCTCGGCAGCTGCTCACTGTGTTTCTCTCCAGTCTATGAGGCTTGCAAATCTGATGTTTCATTCACAGAAGCCAAACTACACTAAAACCCTATTCTTCATTGTAATGGAAATCTTCAGAATACCTTTCTCATTTCTGAACTTTAGGGAGAGGTGTTCCGTTTGTCAATGATCCAATCAGATCCCACTCTCACAAACAGAAAATCAGGAAATGATTTGAATCTCTCAGATTAAGATCGGATTATTTCACCCATTTGACCACTTAGATCTCACTCATCCAGAAACATTAGAAGTGCTGATCAAAGAATTGAAATGCGCTACAAAGGAACACTAGCCCGTGAAAACATCTTTGCAGAGAGATAGAGGACAGAAGGAAGACATGAATTTTCTGCCTCCTAAACAGAAGTAGAGAAAAAATTGCCATGTAGATTTCATCTTTATGTTGCTCTAGCTCTGGTGCTCACATAGCCTAACACTGATACAATTTCTGTTCTTGTACATATTTATAGAAGGGGTTGGGAGCCACAGCTTTCTTGGTAGAATCACTTGTATTCTGTTGTCTCGTCTGAGGCTTCACACTGCTTTGGGTTAGGTGCCAGGCTGAGTGTGTTCCTTGTGCATCCTGGCTCTGTTTGTCGTTGTTGCTGTGGACTTCATCTCTGCTTTGATAGGCTTGCTGGGGTCTTTGGCATTCCTTGCTGGGATCCTGAGACCCCTGATGCCTTTCTTCCTTCTTCCAGCTTTGTCTCTCCCCTTGTTGCTGATGGCTTTGAATCTCTTCATGGCTTTTTCTGTCGTGTCTTTTGTGGTTATGCTCATCTTCATGGTTTTGTCTGCCCTGTTGTGGCTGGTAGTTTTGAAACTCTTCGTACGTTTGCCAGTCTTGTCTCTGGTGGTTCTGTTCATCCTCGTGGGTTTGCCGGTGTCCTCTCTGACAATTTTGTTCTTTGCCAGGGGTTCTGTGCTGAACCTCACGTGGATTTTCATGTCTCTCATGGCTATGAATACTCCGCCTTGGATGACCCTGCTCTTTCACTGTCTGGTGACTCTGTTTTTCAGCTTCAGTGTGTCTGGTCTGGGCCTCTCAGTGTCCCCGTGTGTCTGTCTGACTGTGGCGGGCACTCTGTCCCTGTGTGTCTGTCTGACTGTGGCGGGCACTCTGTCCCCATGCGTCTGTCTGACCGTGGCAGGCACTCTGTCCCCGTGTGTCTGTCTGACCATGGTGGGTACCGTATCCTCGTGTGTCTGTCTGACTGTGGTGAGTACTGTGTCCCTGTGTATCTGTCTGTGTGTCTGTCTGACCGTGGCAGGTACTCTGTGTGTCTGTCTGACTGTAGTGTAAACTCTGACCCTGATTGTCTCTCTGGTCATGTTGAGAATCTAATCCTAGCTTGTGTCTTTGATAACTGTCTGTTTCTTTACCCAGCCTCCTGGAGCGTGAATCCCATTGATTCTGGCAAGAGCTAGAATTTGGTCTGAAGCTTCCAAGATGGCTGGATTGTTGTCCCAAAATGGCTGGATTTAACTGCCCATGAGAGTCTTGAGCTGGTTTCTCACACTGATTTGAGGCATTAATATTTCTTTGCAATTTATGTTGGCCATGGCTAGATTTATGGTTCATTTTTTGACCTGAGCTAGAGTCTTCACCTTGATCAAAGCTGTAATTCTTGTCTTGTCTCCTTGACTGCCCATGATGGAAGTCCCTGTCTTGGCTCTCACACTGACCATAGGGGAACTCCTGGTCCTGTCCCTCAGGCTGACCATGGAAGGAGTCTCTGTTTTGCTTCTCTGACTGATCACAGTGAGAGTCCTGGCCCTGTCTGTCAGACTGACTGTAGTGGGACTCCTTTTCTTGCCTCCCTGACTGGTCATATTGGGCATCTTGACTTTGTCTCTCAGATGGACTCTGGTAGGAGTTCTGCCTTTCCCACTCATGTTGTTGACTGTGTTGTTTGCCTGTGTTTTCTGGAAAATGACGATCTTGGTTTCTTTCCTGTCTCCTTTTTTGCTGGCAGCCTTTATTTTCACACGAATCATTGCCAAGTTTACGATGACAGGCTTCAGCCAATTGGAACACCAATAGCAGATATTCATGAAAATCAACTTGACCATTTCTGTCTTGATCTAAGAGATTCAAAATGTTATCCACTGTCTGTGGGTCTTTTGGTCTCTGTGTGAAGAGAAAGCAAAAAGGAAAATCAAGTCTTTTCCTGTGGATGTTCATGAGTTTTCATGCTCAATTCATTCAGTTCTGGGTAGGTAACTACTCCTTTTATGTGGCTTGGTTCTAGCATTTGATTAACTGATTCTCAAACCATCATCCATATCACAAATCACAATGAGGTATAATCTCACCTTTTTCAAAATGGCTGAAATTTTAAAACATAGAAGGTAACAATGGTGGTGAAGATGTGCAGAAAGGGTAATACTTAAACACTGTTGGTTGGCATGTAAGGTAGTGCAGCCACTGTGGAAAACAGTGTGAAGGTTTCTTTAAGAACTAGCAATAGACTTACCATATGCTCCAGCAATCCCATTACTGAGTTTATATACAAAAGACTTAAACAAAATGAATCAAAAAGATACCTGCGCCATCACTTTTATAGAAACAAGGTTCACAATAGCCAAAATTTAGAATCAAGAAAGATTTTCATCACCAGATGAATGGGTTGAATCTATTTGCAAAGCCCAGCTGCTCCTTCTGATCTAGTTGCCAACTAATATGCCTGAGAAGGCAGATTAGAAGATGGCCCAAGCAGTTGAACCACTGTACCCATATGGGAGACCTGGAAAAAGCTCCTAGTTCCTGGCTTCAGCCTGGCCTGCCCTGGTTGTTGCAGCTTCCTGGAGAGTGAGCCAGCAGGTGGATAAACTCTCTCTATATCTATATCTTCCTCTCTGTGTAATTCTGCCTTTCAAATAAATGAAGTAAATCTTTTTAAAAAACAGATTTGCATCTACAAATCACATTGAATCTGTTAGATATTACTCAATAATAAAAAAAAACCAAATTAAAAAATTATTTGCATAAAGTACTCCTAAACATCCTGTGCTAGACAAAAGCAAGCATGATCATAAGCAGTAGCTACATTTATTTAGAAGAAGTTCCATTAAAACTAACCTGAATCATTTAAGGAAGTTATCCTATCCCATTGTATGGTACATTCTAATTGTGTCACTTAGTTCTTTCTCACCCTTGTATAAGATTCTGGAAGCAGAGGAAGCTGTTTTTATGTGTTTGTATTCCCAGTGCCTAAGATGATCCTTGCATAGAATAGGTGCCTGATGACTCCTTATTGAATGAAAAAATGAGTGAACAAATGAAAACAAGAAAAGGTGTGTAGACAGCACTAAAATATAGAACCCAAAGTATAAATCTTTACTTTTCTTCTGAGGAATTATTTTATGCTATTTTGAAGTTGTATTTTTTTTCACAGGCAAAGGATTAAAAACAATTTTAATTATACACATATGGTCACAATTTTGCCTTAAAAAGATTGCTGGGAAATGTACATAAGGCCGCTTGTGAATGTACATCATGTTACTGTTATAATGTCTTATGTCCAGAGAAAAAATGTTATCATACAGATTTGCTCTTGTTTGGGAGTAAGCTATTAAAAAATACAGTACTCTGCTGTACAAAGAAAAAAGTCACATCACATTTAGTAAGATGGAAAAAGCATTGGCCTCTAAGTTAACGAAGCATCTCTGTCCGATACTTCCTACGATGCACAATACCCTGACATCAGTTGAAAATGAGCCAAATCCTAGCAGGTCCATATTAATAGAGTCAACAACTGCTATAAAGCAAAATACCACTCACAATAAAAACAAAGCTGGTTCATACTTCTGAAACCATATAAAGATGAAACACTTTTTAAAAATCACTCTTGATTTGGAGAAATAAATTTACATTATGCAACACTATATTGCCAGGTCAAAGAGGGCAAGGACATAAAGGCACACTAAGATGCAAATGTTTTCCAAGGAAATAAAACAAATTCTATTTATAGGATGAGGTTTACAAACGTACACCTGTACAACCAAGGGTAATGTCACTACTAAATTAGCAAGGCTTTTTATAATAAACATTGAAACAAGATTTGCTTTCAAAGTGTAAACTTACATCTATTGCTACATACACAATGCATATATTTATAGGAAGCAAAAAAAAAAGCTATCTGAATATGTAATCATGCTTAAATGTTGAGCTATCAAAATCATTTTTCAATGGCCCCTCTATCTGATTCCTACTTTCTGCATCTACTATGAACAAGCAAAAGAATGCTCAACACATCTCTGTAATTCTATAAGCAAAACAAAACACAAATTTCTACTCTTTCTCATTGCAAATCAAACTGAAAAGTTAGTGAGGGCCCAATGCATTAGCCTAGTAGCTAGTCTTCATTTTGCATGTGCCAGGATCCCATATGGGTACCGATTCTAACCCCAGCAGCCCTGCTTCCTATCCAGCCCCCTATGTGACCTGGAAAAGCAATTGAAGACAGCTCTGCACCCACATGGGAGAGCCAAAGGAGGCTCCTGGCTCCTTGCTTTGGTACACTGCAGCTCTGGCCATTGCGGCTGCTTGGGGAGTGAATCACCAGATGAAAGATCTTCCTCTCTGTCTTTCCTCCTCTATATATATCTGACTTTCCAATAAAAATAAATCTTTTTTTAAAAGTTAATGAGACTTAACTTTTCATTTGTGCATACATTAAATGCATGAAAGTATCGTCATGATTTTTTTCTAAGTCTTACAACAATTACGTATTTAAGTATATACAACACCTCTGTACATTGCCAGACACGGTTTAAGGCAGTATTGTATAAAAACCATATCCACTGTAAGTAATAAGTTTGTTTTTCATATCAAATTATCTTATTCTTATTTCACTCACTGAGTTTTAATTTATGTGATAGTTTGTGAATTACCAAAATAAATCTTAACTTTCTCTTTTTACAACATTAATACAATTTATGCAGTTGATTGTTATGTTATAAAAGGCATCATGCAAAGGAAATAAAATAATAACTATAATCCTATATGCATCTCTATAAACCTTTTGTGCTATGGGGTTGTAGACCTACCAGACTGCAAACCAGCTTATTAAAAGAATACTGTACTTTTTCCTTTAAAAACTATTTTTTGTATGACTGTGAAGTTGTATTCAGATACTAAGGAGAAGTGAAAGAGAGAGCAAGAGAGAAAGAGAGAGAGACACAGAGAGAGAACTGCTAAGGCTAAGGATCTGTCTTAAATTCCTCTGTTTTAGGGGTGGAGTGTGACCAAATAAAGTAAAATGCCAATCCTTGGATGCAGGTGTTAGAGTCATTCACATCTGAATCCCTGGAGCCAGGTGTCTGTTGCCTTACCCGAAGGATATCTCCGAACTCAGCGTAGAGTAGTTGCTTTAACTCTTTCTTGCATAGTGAGGCACAGTCCCCATTCTCTTGGGCGTATTTCTGGAACACTTTGGTCACATTGAGTATGCTGTTCAGGAGTTCAGCCATCTGGGCAAAGATAGGTGAGCCTGAAGAAGAAAGGAGATTGGGTCTGTGTTTAGGATGAAGACCAGGCCAAGTTGCTTTCTTGTCTTGACCCAAAGTCAAGTCTCAAATATCACATGCTACAGTGGGAGACAGGTGCAAACTGCAGTCCATACACTAGAATAAGAGGCTAGGACACACTGACGCAAAGGCACATGTACTTCACAGGCTCCCAAGTAGGTCACCCCAGGTATTGCCACATTCCCAGACAGAGCCACGGAAAGGAAGCAGGAAGCTACTCAAACATCAGGTACAGGGAATAATCTCAAACCTTCCCAACCCAGCATAGTACAGCTCCTTGTAAGAGCTTTGTGGATACTGCCATTGTTCCCTGTGAGCGTCTTACTTGCTTGAGGAGAAATGAGCCAAGGGTCAGAATCCGGAGAAGATATTGGAGACCTGAAAACTCTTCCTATATATAGGGGCTTTAATTGTCCTGCTGGGTCATCCCAGGAGACACCCATTCTGTGGCAGGACCTGAATCAGGCTGGGCCTTGCCCAATTTGACTCAGCTTACCTTAGCCTAGCTTGCTTGACCCCTCTCCATGCAAACCGTTTGTTTTATTTACTTCCCCCATTTGCTCATGAACCTGTTTGTTTGAGTGGGTGACACAGTTGAAGTCCAGCCCCATTTAATTGCAGGAGGGTATATATGCATACATGTCTATGCTATGAGGATTCCAAAAGACACAAGTACAAGTTGAATTTGTTCTTAATATGTGTTGTTCATGAAGTCTGATGTAGGGCAAGTGTCAAATCATAGTGAAGGATAATAGCTATCTGAACATATTGCAAAAGTTTGTCTATTAGGAAGAAACTAGGAATTCCTTGTTTTACCCAGGATATATATTCCCAGAAAGATATTGGCCTTAGGATAATCTCTTGCCTTGAAGAAACATATGGCGATATATTGATCCATGTGAAACTGCTGTTTTTGTAAAGACAGCTTTACAGGCTCGTGGGAGAAGTATGTAGATGATCGATTTTGGGCATTTGGGGAGGGTGATGATGTGGAACTAGTTTTTAAGTCTTACTAAAAGGTCTGCGTCAAAGGATAGTATGGACGTTTACAGTGTCTCTGAGGTAGAGTTGCTGCCGGTGACCCCAAATTTCATTTATTCATTATTCATTATCTCTGCATCCGTGATAGGCCAGTCAAGTGTCCTGAGCACAGGAGATTCTTAGTAAATGTTTTGGAATGAGTAATACATTGAATTAGGCAAGCATTGGAGGATCTTGTGTAAAGTGTAAAATAGACTAGATTTCCCCCTTTTTTTTTGTTCATATCTACATTGCTGACTAGACCTTTTACTGTCTCTTCATCAGCAAATTGGTTATTGGTATTGACGTTTATTATTTACTATGTGTTCAGAATTCTGCAGGGAATCATAAAAGTGAGGGAAGTTTTCAATTGGATTGGAATAAACAAGTTTCACATAGGAAAACATTTTGAACACCACATATAGGAGATACAGAGAACTGGAAAGTCCAGGTCCATGGCTGGGCTGAACTTCCTTGAGGAGATGAAGTTTGTGTTGTTCCTAAAAGGATTCAGGTGAGCAGAGGAGAAGAGAAAAACAAATAGCAAAAAGGTGAGATTTGTAAAAGGTGTTTGAACTGTGGCAGGATTTGCCCAAGACTAAAGGATTTTCCAATATATGGGGTTTTCACCTCTTAATTTGGGAGAGTTCTGGGCATCCTGACACAAGTTAATTGCTCTAGACTGTGGTGGACAGGATGGATTGGAAAGAACAATGTGTATCTAAACAGAGAAACCAATTAGGAGCCTATTTTATGGCCCCAGTGACAAGCAATAAGGACTTTGACTTGGATATAATAATTCATCTGGAGGGAGCTAGGGTTTGGGGATAGATTAAACGAGGAACTGAGAGTTGAAGACATCACAGGACTGCAAATCTTGAAATCTAGTAACTAGAGGAACTGTAGTGGACTAAGGAGATGTAACCTTTAAAGGAGATCTGATGGGATGTGAGATTCAGTGCAGCTACTGGCTTTCTGTCTCTTTGTATCTTCTTATTCTCCCTTTATCTTGCACCCTCTGCTGTTCTGGGTCTTCCAGAATTAGTCAGGGTTTGTTTAAGGTTCTTTATAAATCCTGAGAGATGAGTCATGCAAAGATTCTCTTTCGCTATTACATCTCTACTTAGTACTCTTCGGGGATGTGTTTTCTCAGCTGTTAGAACCGAAGACCTAGAGGAGGCTTGGTTGCTCCCAGAGTGGAATGTGTAGGGAATACAGACAATAGCTGACATGACAGACAGCAGCTGCAACCCTTTCCTGTTGGCACACTCCAAGACTTCCTGCAGTGATTTTATTTGGCTATATGGGAAGTTCCATTTGCCTGATGGTGCGGTAGAGAGAAAGACGTGTTCCTTAATAGCAGGGTCTGCTATGTAGGCATCCATTTAACACTTAATAAATTCTAGAGGGATGGGCAGAGAACTGTGTTGAGCAGTCAATCAATTGATGGCTATTTAAATAGATAGGGTCCTATAAGCATTAACATAAATGGGGTACACAGGATCCTCCTCTGTGGTTCAAAGTGCTTCACAAGTATTGCTGTCAGAGGTAGAGCACAGGTAGATTAGAGAAGAGAGGGAGAGGCTGCGAAAGGAAGAAATAATGCATGTTTGAAGGAATCATGGGATGTTCTGGGTAATTTTGGGGAGATCACTCAGCCTGACCTTGATTTCTTCATCTGTAAAAGGAGAGAGTTGGAATTTCCTTTGGTATTAGTGGTCTGTGATTCTGTGATGCCAATATTAGAATAGCAGACTGGGGCCCGGCGCAGTGGCCTAGCGGCCCAGGTCCTTACCTTGAATGTGCCGGGATCACATATGGTCACTGGTTCTAATCCTGGCAGTCCCACTTCCCATCCAGCTCCCTGCTTGTGGCCTGGGAAAGCAGTCGAGGATGGCCCAAAGCCTTGGGACTCTGCACCCATGTGGGAGACCCGGAAGAGCTCCTGGCTCCTGGCTTTGAATCGGCATAGTACCGGCCGTTGCAGTCACTTGGGGAGTGAATCATTGGATGGAGGATCTTTCTCTTTGTCTCCTCCTCTCTGTATATCTGACTTTGCAATAAAATTAAATAAATCTTAAAAAAAAAAGAATAGCAGGCTATTACAGATAATATTTTAACTGTTCTCTTCACGAATTTCCTAAGTGTCAGAACTTTGTACTTCTTTGTGGCAAATGGGAAAGGCAATAACTGACATCCTGTTACTTCATTAGAAATTGATAATTGCTGGAGGAACTTTGCTATTTTTGTTAACTGTTTTTCAATGTGTTTTTGCTGTTTTTATTGTAAGCATGCTTAAGTGTAGCCTTCTGGTCTCTAAAGCATCATTTTGTTTTTTAAAAGATACATTTAGAGGAGAAGAAACAGAGAAAGAGAGATGTTCTGTTTGCTGGTTCACTCCCTAGATAGCTGTAATGGCCAGTGCTGGGCCAAGCCAAAGCCAAAACCCAGGAGCAAGGAGCTTCATCCAGGTCTCCCACATTGGTGGCAGGGGTCCAAACACTTGGCCATCCTCTGCTGCTTTCCCAGGCCATCAGCAGGGAGCTGAATCAGTGGTGGGATGCTCAGGGTGTGAGCCAATACTTATATAGGATGCTTATGTCACAGGAGACAGCTGTACCCATTATGCCACAGCTAGGCTATACTGAGACAAGAGCCTGAAACTCGAGCTGGGACTCCCATGGGGATGACAGAGGCTCAAGTAGTTGAGCCAGCTTTCACTACCTGCTCAGGTGTATTAACAGGGAGCTGGGTTGGAATCGGAGCTGCTGGCATTTGAAGCAGTGATCATATGTGATGGCAGAATCAAAAGTGGTGACTCAGCTCGCTATATCACAACACTGGTCCCAGGCAAGGCACTTTTAAGGTACAATTTATCGGGATCTTAATGTATGACAGGTGCTATGTTAAACATTTTATTTTATGTTATTTTGTTTAATTCTTGGAAGAACACTGTAAGGCAGAAAATATATTTTTTTAAAGATTTATTTTATTTTTATTAAAAAGGCAGTTTACAGGGAGAAGAAGAAACAGACAAATCCTGTGTCCACTGGTTCACTTCTCAAGTGGCTGCAATGGCTGGAGCTAAGTTGATCCAAAGCCAGGAGCCAGGAGCTTCTTCTGCGTCTCCCATGCAGGTGCAGGGTCCCAAGGCCACAGGCAGGGAGCTGGATGGGAAGTGGAGCAACTGGGACATGAACCAGCACCCACACATGATCTGGGTGCATGCAGGGGGAGAACTTAGCCACTGAGCCATTGTGCTGGGCCCAAAAAGGATTGTTTCACTTTTCAAACAAGGAAAAACGATCAGAGAAGGATAAATAACTTTTCAAGTTTGCCCTTTCTGCAATTGCTCAACCCACATCTTCTTGATATCAAAACATTTAGGGCCCAGCGCGGTGGCGCAGTGGTTAAAGTCCTTGACTTGTATGCCCGGATCCCATATGGGCGCCGGTTCTAATCCCAGCAGCCCCGCTTCCCATCCAGCTCCCTGCCTGTGGCCCGGGAAAGTAGTCGAGGATGGCCCAAAGCTTTGGGACCCTGCACCCGCGTGGGAGACCCAGAAGAGGCTCCTGGCTTCAGATTGGCTCAGCTCTAGCCGTTGCGGCCACCTGGGAAGTGAATCATTGGATGGAAGATCTTCCTGTCTCCTCTCTCTGTATATCTGCCTTTCCAATAAAAAAAATAAAATAAATCTTAAAAAAACACATTTATTTGCAACTCCCTATGTTATTTGTCCAGTCCCCTTTGAGAAATAGTTGTCCACACAGACTGAGTGAGTAAGAGCAAAGGAACTCCCGATGACATGCTATGAAGGAAACCTTGAAATCAGAACCTCCTGCTGCTTAATAATTCAAAAACATTTTTTACACTTCTTCAGCACCTAAGTGGTTTCTGTATTGAAGTAGCTTGTCATCTGTTCA